AAAAGTGCAGTCACGGATGTTGAAATTTTGTAATATCAGGGAGCATATTTGTTGTAGTTGTCCTTGCAATTAAAGCACTCCCTAGATATTTAGGCCATGTTGAATTATTTTTTCTATGATCAGAATAGAATTTTTGATGTTAATATATATATATATATTATGAATCCATCTCTTTTCCCCCAGCTCTAGGGTAATTAATCCATTATCATCACCCAAAATAACACAAAATTATATATATATATATATATATATATATATATATATATATGTGTGTGTGTGTGTGTGTGTGAGTGTGTATGTTTATGTATGTATATATATAGATATATGTATGTATATATATATATATATATATATATCTTTATATATATATATATATATATATAAATATAAAGTAATATTTTAACTTGCGCTGTATTAAGTGAAAAGCGCTCAATATCAGTAATAGAGCTAATATAATAAATTGTATGGATATGTATTTGTGTCCCTGCGTTTCACGCTTTTGCGCTCTTAAAAAAAAACAGTTTATTTTTTAAAAAATTGGATCTATCTATGCTTGTTTATCTATGTTTGGTGGCAGGAGGTAGGAATCTACTTATGTGTCTGTATGGGGTGGACATACATAGGCACATACATACAGGTGTACGCATATATATATATATATATATATATATATATATATACATGTGTGTGTGTGTGTGAATAAATTGTGGTCTAATTTATGCAAAAATGGAAAAACAAACATCTCATTTTAACAAATATATTTACAAATATCGCACGAAATATTTTTCAATATATTGAAATACTGAAGGGTAAATTTATTTAATAAAATTACCATTTCCTTCAACCACGGCCTCCAAACGACTTTCCTGTAAAGCTTATGGGCGGTCTCATTGTTAAGTTGGTGAATGCTATTATAATGCTTGCCTTGCCTTTTGACGGTTTGTTGCTCAGCTACGTCCCTAAAAGTAATGATTAAGGGGGTTGCACTCTAAGGAGTTAGTTGGCCAAATATATGGGTTGATATGGTCGCAGAAATTATCTAACATCCATGACTGGGATCTCCTGTTTCTCTGGCATTGTACGAAGGCTCACTATCTCCCCAAGTCACTTGAAGTATCCCTCCGTGTTGAGTCTGAGGCCCTGTGCGAAATATAATAGAGGTATAACTGGCCTCAGATTGACACCCAAACACACTGAAATGTTCGTACTGGAGCTTCCAGTGCGAATGCCAAGTAGTATAACATGCCGTCTTCAGATTTCTGGCGAAGTGAATTGCGTCATTGTGTTCTTTATTTCACAGACGTTCTCCAACTAACCCTACTATACTCTAGAATCGCTGAATTCTAAAACAAACACGGTGCAGGCGCGAAATTAAAGATATAATTTGGTGACAATTTACACATCGCACCCTATATATATATATATATATATATATATATATATATATATATATATATATATATATATATATTGTTACGAACATATATAGCATATAGATGAACCGCGGGTTTAAATAAAAGGAAAACGTGGGATCCTTTCTCGGTCTTCACTCGAAAATGGAAGTGACATAAGGGGGAGTCAACGAAGAACAGACACAAGACGATAGATTAACAAATGGGGAGGGGGCCGTGAAAGAACAGAAGGCGCGAGCGAATACGTACATAAAAAAAAAGATCAAGCCAAGAGAATCAACTTATCTCTCAGTCGAGTTGATATTTTCACACAAAATTCTGATTCGCCAAAGCGGGAGATCTTATGCTAAAACAATATTTTGGTCGGCCGGAAATTTTCCTGGGTTCCTTTTCT